TTTTAATGGCTTCAAAGTTTTTTGCAGAGTGTTGTCAGGAATAAAACTTTAAATGACTGTAGGTGTTATTCTCAGTGTTTCTTTCAGATTGATGCCTATTTCTACATACCAATGTCAGGAAATTATATTCAGCTCACTATAGAAGAAACTGTGAGGCTACGGGAAGAATGTATAAGTTTAACCACTTTGATTAGACTTTTAAGCTATGTTGTGGAAATCGTGGTTTGACATTTTGTAATTAACGCTAATCGTTCTATATGACTCTAAAATTTCATTCTTAAGCTGGAATAAAACACCAGAACTAGGTTCATTTTGTATTTCTAACTTCAGTTAAAAAATTAGGTAAATTTACCTACTTAAGAGCATTTTTTTCCCTGGAAGACAGTCTTCATGAATCTCCAGGACGGGTTTCAGAACACTTACTCACTATGGATGACGGTTTTCCTATGTGGCTAGCTGGTAGACATTTGGAAATGTGAGCTGTTAGCTTCCAGCTGACCATCTGAATTGTGATTTATCGATTGCAGGGCATAACGGTGCACGATTCTATTCCCCAGTTTATCAAGAACTTGAACCTCTGAAAAATCTTACTCTGGGATGGAACAAATATCCAGCTCTTCTCAGTTTTTCGAGATTGTTTTTTTTTGCTTAGGTATACCAGCATTGAGAAGTACTTGGAAATTAAAATTAAAATTTTTTTCCAGCTATTCGTATATATGTCTTATTGTTGAGTAATTTTGGAATTCATGGATAATCCCCATCCAGACATTCATGAAAACAAAACAGGTAGTTCAGTGAAGAGTCTCTTTTCGGCGAATCCATTTTCTGAGCTGTACAATCGAACATACATATGGCTTTCTTTTTTGTATGCACGTGTACATTAAGTTTGTCAAACAAAAATACAATTGGTTATGGTTATTTTAGCTAAACAGGCGAAAATTAGTAAGTTTTTGGGTGGAGTTATGTAATACAAACATAGTCAAGAAAACTGGATGTTAATCAGACTAGGGTATTAGTAACAAAGGTTGTTAGAAGGAAATTATGCAATAATATGAATAGTTAGTTGATTGAGTTGTACTTTTAAATAAGAAAAGGTAGGCAACAGGAAAAAGAAATGAAGTGAGCGTTCAGCAGTGCATCGATTCCGATGAAAATTCGTAACGAAGTATACTCCTTAAACCGGACAACTACAGAAGTTCCAATAGATATTCCAAACTATCACCTACAATATTTGACATAAAAAATCTATTAACATGGCGGCAGAAGGACAGTAATTTTTATGAGTTAACTAACATTATAAACATATTTATGTCAGTAATTTCCTGCACATGATATCTGCATGTACGTTACTTCATTAGAAGATACTAAAGAACAACAACACCAGATGATACATTGAAGGAAAACACTAGTCGCCTATGAGGCTAACAAACAATGAACTGTGCCAATTCAGCAGTGTGTTGATTTGATGCTAGGCAATGAAAAGTGAGAAACTCTGAACCTAGCTTTGTTGCTTATTAACATTCATCAGGTGGTGAATCTAGTGGAAACTCATGTAGACCGCAAGACTTACAACTCAGTCACTCAGTGTGGCAGTTAAAGAATAGAACACGAAATAACTCATATACTTACCAGTCCGTCAACAAAATTATAATGGTCCCATTCTTTTTCAAAGCTGCATACAAAGGATGAAAGCAAAAACAATTTCATGGCAAAAGTATTACTGGTTAAAAGCCGCAGCAAATATTAGCCAGCAAACTGCAAGATTTTCGGCTTACGGGCAATAAACTACTAGCAACAGTTTTCTCCATCTGTATTTCTCCACTTCATGTCTGCATTCAAAAAGACTACATTGTAACCAGTAGTGTAGACATGAACAGAATCGTAGCTCCTCCAACAATGATTTCATAGAGTCGAATCAAGCTAGCAGATAAATTCATCATAAATACTCGTAACACTAGAAACACTACCTATATTACTGAGAACTCGAAAATTACTAACAATCATTCACATGCATTAGGAGATAACATACTAGCTTGATTAGGTTTTTTACTCAGAAAAAAACCGTATATTGATGAAAAGGCTGTGTCAACCAGTGATACTAAGATTCCTTGATTGCATGGCTTCTTAACTTTACAATAGAGAATATCCCACGTTTGCTGGGAGCACAATAGTGTCACAGGTTAATTAACTAAATCAATAATGTCGGATATTGAAGGCGTAGACATTAAAGTAGCATGGTGGATACAAGAATCTACAGGATATGCATTGAAGAAGCATCAAATAAGGAACTGGTATCCTTCAGAAAAACATTAATCGAAAATGTATATCCAACCTGCTTCACCGATGAACCTAGGTGTGTCGAAGAAACAACTAACTATAAACCTGAAATTCAAGGCAGATACAACTACTGAGCTTCTCCGGAGCCGCCTGTCGACAGTGACTCCAAGAACGTTCTTTGCTGCATCCCCATCTAACACCCTCTCCACACATGCTCTTATTCACCGAAACGTTAAAGACAAGACCCCCTCCTTTGAAACTTCAATGTGGATTCACCCATTCACCTGTTCTCATGGAGCTTGCTACATAGACCGTACCAGCAGGACATTGTCTAGACATCGCCATGAACACTTACCAGCACGATTGTCAAAAGGACAATGTAGAACAGTCGACAGCTCAATTCGGGAACATAGTATCACTTCAAGTCATGCAGCACCAACAGAGACTTCATTCACAGTCACACACACACACACACACACACAAAGTACGACAAAACCATTCGACAGCATTTCGCCTACATCTTCTCCATCCAGCCGAAGTCTTAGCAATCCTTAAGGAGAAACGTGAACTTTGTCTTCAGAAACACTTTATCAAACCTCTTCTACTACCATGACTCTAGTACTATTGCTTCTTTCTTCCTCCTTCTTTGTCTCCTTCAATAACTGTTTAATAAGCTCTATGTAGTGCCCTTTACGTTTTTGCAACTCATTTTCAATATTTTGTCCTCTCGTCGCTTACTAACTATTTCCAAACAATTATTCAGCATTCAAATAATTAGCTGTCAACCCTCCCGTGTACGTAAGCGTGTAGTTAATTTCCAAACATAGTTATTACTCATGAAATTTGATTTACCTTGTTGTTAGCTGCTAATGACTTTTGACCTCTGTTGTCAAACTATATCGTATATATAGACCACCCAAATAACTGTACTGCTCTGAAATGACGTTACGAAAAGAGGTCTCTTCCCTGACCCATGTGTCCTGAGCTACCATCTGTTTATTCGGCGTAGTAAATGGGCATGCGACCACTGCTGTCGAAATTTGACTTACTTTTACGGGGAATGTAGGTGATACCTGAGAGCTACATGTATTTTTGGTAGTCATATGAATGCTGGTACAATATGATAGATAAGATTTTGAATTACAAATCGGAATCCGCGATAGAACACGCTGGTCTCAGTTATCTCAAGTGACTTCAAGTCTACCTGACAGCACAGTGTTCTTTTAACACTGCTTTCGTGCGAACGGTCTTAAAGCGTGACCACAGGACTTGGCGACTCTTCAGATTTGACCAAATTATTCACTACTGTACGATTTCTAATGTTGGAGTGTATCGAGAATTTCTAATGTATTAGTGATTTTAAGCAGACAGATAAGTTCAGGTGGCTTTATTTTATACATACCTTCTGGTTTCTTTAAAGTAATTAGTTCGACGTATCAGATAAAGTACGTCTTTTCACTGTTTTGGCAAAATGAATAGCTCCTATGCCCTTCTGCAATTATTTATCTTAAGGAGACTGGAAGAGTAAAAGTACAGCTTATCATGTAGTACCATAGGGTGGCCAGAAGTTGTGTTTTCATCTATTGAGAAATCAAAACAAGATTATTTAGGAAACGGATATGAAAGAATTTCGTGTTATAAGCCAGTGAATTAAGTGACCACTCGGTAGTTTGCTAGAGCGATATGTCAACACTTAATAAGCACTAGATGATGATCAAATTTTAGACTGATGGAAGCATCAGGTCTACGAACACGATTCTCTTCAATTAAAATTTATATCCCCAGTTGCAAACATAGTCAGTGGACTGACTTACCTGTCGGTTGTTAGGAATTTGATTGATTCAACAAGGTAGATTCTGTAACAGACAGAAATAGTCTGAGCATACCGCTCAATCCATTTACTAATGTGAAGCAGAAAGTAGCTTTATTTCTTCCTCCTAATTTTTTTGAATTTTAAAGGGAAATGAGCATTCCTGGACTAACGAAGAAACATGGTCGCATTAAAACTAACCAACTATTTGAGTAATTTTAAGCTTACTTTCTAGTACCAACATTCAAGTATTTACTAGCTGATTGTTTCTAGATGAACGTTATTCAGTCTGCTTGAAAAACGGGAACATAGAACGACCTCATGCATTGATGCAAGGTATGGCGCAGTGTGCAGAATAAGGTATACAAACATTGCACACCTTCGTGAGGGAACTTTCAAGGTGAGAATAATTCCTATTTCCAAACCACGCCCAATTATTTCACCGCTAAATAATTTCTATTTGTGCAATGATAGCTTTGTGATAATGGTCACAATAATGATTAGCCGAATAATACCTCGTTTCGTATTATTATGATTACTATTCGCTACACGTTTTTCCTACTCTGTTGTTCGTCTATTAAGTGTGAAGCGAATACAACAGAAAGTCAAGCAGTGTATTCTTTGCATAATCTTCCTAGTAAATGACTAGATTAGAATCCCCAGCATACAGAAATTAAATTACTAATGTGGTCTGTTGAGTATCACTAAATTACCACTAACACATAACTCAATGATTACCGTCCCCCCTCCTTAAACAAAAAAGAAGTGAGTAAACAGTGAGTACTATGCGAGTAGTACTGAGACATTTTCATCCACTATACCTAAAGTTTTCGAAGAAATGTTACAGTGTGTCACCGACATATATAAGTATTAGAAGTATGTAACTAATACAATCATATTTTAATTGGGTATCATTATCATTTGTAATATAAACTGAATATTTACAAGGTTTTATCATTGTGAATCAACCATATAGCTCGTGAAGTTACAGTTTTTCACATTTTTATCATTATGAAATAAAATATTTTTAAAAAAAAACCGGTAAGAAGACACGTATGGAAAAATGTTTCGAAGATATTCACATCCTTGATACATCAGAGAGAAAAAACGATAATGGTAATAGAAAAAGAATAAAGGAAACACCTTCTGCATCTGACACGTCGTCATTCTTTTCATTCAAAACATAAAAAAGAACAAATCCATATAAAAGAAATCGTTGTTCAGTTCACCGAAAATTCCAGCCAGATGTAGTATGCAGCCCACAAAAAGATATAGGAGAGAAGATTGGGAACAGATAAAAGTGAATCTCTGAATGAATATAGAATCAAAAAGACAACGAAACGAAGTAGGGATGCAGTAGTATAGAAAAAAGAACAATCTGATAAATATGTTCGCATATATATGTATATATATATATATATATATTATATATATTAAACGGCGCTATGTATGAATTAGAAAAGTGTCGTAAAAAAATGAGCATTTCAGTGGAAAATAGTTGTACCTGCTTATATAAGAAAACTTTGTGGAAGAATAAATGCAAGACAATATACAGACATTTATGCACTGCCTAACTGTTTCTTCTTTCTTATGTATAAAAACCTCTATCCAGCAATCAACTAGTAAAAAACTATCAATACCTCAGCAACAAGGAAGGCACGTAATATTCCAACACAAACCGGGAGAAAATTATAATGAGTCAACTTCGAACTCAAGATGTGTTTAGTCATAAGCACAGAAAGTTTTTACACTTACGTGTACCTGTATGCATAAGGGTTTAAGTACAAAATAGCTTAAGCAATCATTGCACACATAGAAAAAAAAATCAAAAAGCACTTGAAACAAACTGGCAGCAACAAAAGGCATAGGCGGAATTCTGAGGGAATTGAGTCATTTCAGAGTCTGAAGAAAAGAGATGATATAAGGTGCAAAATGTTGCTTTATATCGTCATTTATGAACCGGGTTAGTAGGAACCTCTGGAAAGTGAGAGGTAATTTCCTATAGATGTCGTAAAGGCAATTTTGTGTCTGTGTGGGTGACAATGAAAAATGAAACAGAGAAATGGTGAAAAGAGAAAACAATAGCAACAGTATATACAAGTCAGTGTCGAATGGTAGAAAAATAGACACTGCTCTCAAGATCGGAAAAAATTGTTCCTCTAACTGACAGTGATAATGTGAACAATGAAAGCAAAATACCTAATTATGAAAAGGCGCATAAAGTATCGCTAACAAAACAGCCTTATTATCATTATCAGAAGTAAAAGCAAAAAGAAAATTAACACTCTGGGCTAGATAATACAACATAATTGAAAAAGTCACAAAACTGGTATCCCAAGATAATGATGACTTATAAGAGAAAATGGGACGAGGATAATAGAACAGATGTGAATGTGAAGAGAAAGGGGGTCAGATTGAAGGATACTGAAAGGATAAGAAAAACTTTGGATGACAAATCGACTTATGTGTGAATAAGTGATTCATGTGTACTTCCAACATAAAAAGAGTAGAAAATCAAAAAAATTTATGGAAATCGTTATAACAAAAAAAACGAGAAAAACATGGCCAACAAATGAAATGCCATTTCGAAAACCAATAAACCGAAAACGTTGCAATAGGAAAAGTGACGAATTTAAAAAAAAGACATTTCTGGGTTTCTATGATGTTCAGTTCAGTAAAGAACCAATCATATTGGCAGTAGTTTACCTCATGATTCTTCATGTGAAATGCGGTTACGGTGTATCTGGAAGTTCTGATTTCATTGAAGTATTTTGGTTGGGGTTTGTCTGTTGTGGTGGAGTTGGCTGTTGTTGCGTGGTTGGTGATTGAAACAGGAATGAAAATCGATGTAATTCACCTTTGAGACTAGGATAGGAAGTAGCTAGCATCTCCATATGGAGTCTTAGACGTTCACCTTCGGACCTATAGCGTGCAAGCATGTCCTCCAAGCTCTTTACCTGGGCATCACGTTCAGCCACTTGATTTTCTAATGACTTGATGAGCGTTATTTTTCGTTCTCGACAACGACGTGCGGCAACACGATTACGAGCACGTTTCCTTTCTAGTTTTAGATGATGCTGTTCAACTTCATCCAAAGATGATACAGGAGTATTACCTCTAACTCCTCGACCTGTCCCAGTACTGAGTGATTCTGATTGATCACTAGCATCATCCAGTTCACCGCCAATCATTGATTCAGAGTTGAAAACGAAGCAATTGGAGGAATTTGTAACATATGACTGCTGACTGACAACTGAGTAATTATCACTGCAACCAGTACTCGGTATTTTATTGGCTGTAACAGAATTTACACGTCCTACTAGGTTACGTACTGGTTTCGCACTGCTTTTGGCCGTCTCGTTAAATATGCCTGGGATAGAAATATTGTCAGTACTGCTATCGCAAACAGTTGCTTGGTATGAACTCTCATTTGATGTGAGTATACGTGACCTTTTCTCCAATAAACACTGACGTTTGGGCTTCTTCAAACATGAATGAGTGACCAATGATAGAGGTTGGGCAGGAAAAGTATTTAGGCAACTGGTCACTGGTGGGAAAGAAGATCTCTCAACAGCTTCGGTTCTACAGATGGGTAACTGTCGAAAATAAGCATTGCTCTGATCTTGTCCGTCATTGTTTTTACTACGCAGAAGCGAAGAAACTGGTGTGAGATTAAAATGGGAACTGGTCGTCACTTGTTTTAAATCGGTGGTGGTGATTCCAGGTGATCTCAAACTTTCCAACATATGCGCGTCCATAAAAGTTTCACACACAGGATTAACACATGGATTTGATTGCCTGGTAGTTGCAAAAGGAGCATTTGATTGAATTAAGTGTGATGAAGGTCCATGTGGTTTATCTGCTTCACTTAATGGAAGAGAAAAGTGGTCACCCAAATTGCAATACATCCCATCGAACTGCTGACTAAGTGAATTGCCACTATCAGCTATTCCATTTGTGTGCTTGGCAAGTGAAATGAAAAACCAATGGAGTTAGTTAGGTCTAAATACGAATATACATAGGAAAATAATGTTAACGTAAAATGATAACTGATGAAATATTTCTGTTAAATAGTGACAAATGAATTTGATAAATTCATCATGCTTGAAGGTTCTCATCGTTATTGATCAAGCCTTATATGTAAGCATTCTTGTACTCCAAACATACTGCCAAAAAAGCAGTATATGCTGCTCATTTTGCACTATAAGTACACATACAACGTATCGATAATGGAGGGAAATCAGTTTAAGATGCTTAGACTTTGGCTAACAGAACTCTCCGTCTGACCCTCATCTAGCACAAACACTGATCTTACTGAAATGCGACACTACAGAAAAAGACACTGTACCTTCGTGAAAAGGTTTGATTGAGGTACATCATGTATGAGCTTACCTTGAAGATCGTTTATGCTGCAAATGAAGAATGAATAGAAAGTGTCATAATAACAAATAATCAAGGGTTCGTTTTACTGTGCACCTGAGCAAGTATAAGCTGACAGACCTTGCAAATACATCCCGTTAGTGACCCCATTTATGGTGACGAAAGGCATCACAGATAAAAGAACCATTAACCTATTTCACCTAGCATCTATCCATCACTGATAACAAGCTATCGGGTAACTTTGCAGTAAGTGTTTCACTTTAAATTGGAACACTTTACAAGCTATAGAAAGCAGTAGATAAGGATCGAGTGATATCGATAAAAACCAGTGTGACGTGAGGATATAATTAAAAATACAGATTGCAAACAAGTGAAAACATACAGGTCACACTGGAGGACTACAGTCAAGCGATCTATACTTGCCCATACACCTGAGCGCAATAATTACTGATTTCATCAACCAGTAACATATCTTTCTTCAATCAGATAACTCCAACTTTCTTAAAAAGTAATTCTTTTTCAGCCGGGGATGACCGATAAACTTGGCTTACTTAAATAAGTGACTACGTCTAAGATCCACATTAGTCACTCTGTGGTCTAAAGAGAGCAATGCAACGGAACGGTCAATATATAAAAATAGCAAAACAATTGCTTCCCGCCTTTGAAAATCTCATCACACAGTCTTAGGACTGGCAATAACAAAATACTAAGAAGTTAACCGAATATCGAAGTGCATATAATGATGAAATTATTTGGCAGATAATAAGGTGGTTTTTACATTCATTACTGAGATTTTACCAATTAAGAATTTCCAAACACGTAATATTCAGTGGATTATATCACTCTACTCAATATGATTAAAATAAGAAATGCTGCTGATCAATGCTGTGTCTGATTAAGATAAAGCACTTGTAGATATTAAGATTTTCTTCATTATCCACTCAAAAACGTCTACATTTTTGATATAAGAATAAAACTTGGGCACTGTGGTAGAGTGTAATTCCATTATGGGTAAATAAAAATAAAATTTACCCATAATGGAATTACGTCTACATTTTATCTGCGTATTTTTTTGACGAAATTACTCTGTGTACTGCAGACCAAATAGCCCTTGATAGTGGCGAGTCAACTTCTGTGACACCGGACATTCCTGATTACCTTCACTTCCGACTGAAACTTCGTAAGGCAGTAGGACAGAATATTTTTTAAATGCAAACAAAAGACCGAAGATAACATAACAGAATAATGTGATATAAGTGAGGGGATTTTCGATGTCGAATGAAATGGGTACATAAATACACAATTTAGGAAACTAATCATTGGTCACCCACCAGGGGGAGTCACAAGTAGACACAATGAACCAGTGAAAAAATTCTCATAAAATAATAGCTTTGAAATTAAATGCTTTATACTTTTCAATTCACTCTCAGGACATGTTAACACTTGATTACTATCAATTGTTAAGCTTCAACTATAGTTATAAACATAATTTTCGAAATGATGCAGATAGAACACCTAAGAGCGTAATTCACAAAACTGTGGTGATAACGCTTTACATATGATGTTAACTTTTAAGTAACTTAACTTACAGAATCAACAGCACGTGGTTGATGTATTTCATTTCTATTCAACATGCTATCGCCATTATGAATACCTGAAGATGCAGGTGATTGACTAGCAAGGGAATTTGGATTCATATGATTATCTAACAAGTGATTTGAGCAACCCCTATGTGTATTCGACTGACGGCCAACATATAGATGAACGGGAGTCTTTTGTGTACTTGCACTGCATACATTGATGTCACTTGAAGATAATGACGCTGGAACAGGTGCTAAAATTTTGCATTCCTGTACACTAGATAAAGTTGGATGCACTGAAGAGTAAAGTTCATTGAGCGCTTTACTGATTCCCAGATCAGATGAATCATTTGTGCACAATGCAGAATTTGATGAAGATGCTACTAAACTATCAACAATACCACCGTCGCATGAATCCTCCAGTTGAACACCACTGTGATTGTCCTGAACTGCATAATGAATAATAACATTATCGTTTTGTGGTCCAGTTTTACAGGCATTCAGAGTTCGTAATTTCTGTGATCTGTTAATGCCATCATTTTCATTTAAAGTCAAAACATTTTCAGCTATTTCATGGGATCTTATACCATCATGAGAATAGTCTGAATTATCGAAATGCGAATTATTGGGAATCACATCTATATCTGAACAAAATTCTGTGGGGATATGATCTCCATCCGCAACAGCCTGCTTTAAACCATTCGCGATAGATGAAATAGTGGGTAAACTGGATACCCAAGGAGCTTCGGCGCTTGTTTTATGGACATTATTATGACTTGTATTAGATGTTTTCAGAATACTGGGGTAACAGTTTTCTTGGAATGGATCAGAAGTGGAACTAAAATAAAAACGGAAATTTACCGTGAAATATAAAACTTGGAAAAAGAAAGACTAATCTATTAAGTTTTGTGGTATAGCGCGATACAAATTACTCCCAGCTTATGATAGACAAACATGACTGAAACCGAATAAGTGGTATTTGTGTCCACAATATGACGAGGAGTAGGTTTTCTTCCTGTCAGTCAACTTCTTTAGAATCTTCCTGAGGACTATCAGGTTGGCACCCAATTGGATACATCAATATACATTATTTACTGTATGTTATGTCTGCTTTCTCCGCCAAAAATTCAATAACGACAGGTCCAAAAGTGGTGATAAAAAGGGCTTCTTTACAACAATTGGATAACGCTAGAACTAATTTTAGCAGTGTTACCTTAGTACAAAACACAAAGCAACAACGATAACAGTGATATTTACTTAATTGCTGTGATCGAATTAAATGTAAGAGGCCTTGAATTGTAACAAAAATTGTGACAGGATTAAATGTTTATTTCATCACTGAGCTGCATAGCTTCATTATACCGAATTAGTGTTCCTTACTGAACGCAAACCACCTAGCATCCAATGAAACACAGCACAATGAATGAACTGAGTAGCAGCTATGTTGGGACCAGTACAATTGAATATTAGATTGATTAATATATAACGAATTTGAAAGCGAGAATTATCGCCTATGATAATAGTTCTGTACTCAATTGATTCAATTTTATACGATACTTCTCATAATAATAATAATACTAGAACCTAAAGATTTTTTTATCTAACAGCAGGCTGATTGTGCTGCCAATATTACAGTTAACGTTGCTGCATAATAATAAACAGCTCGTGACAGAAAAATCATTAGAACAACAATTTTCTACACTTTTTTCTTCTCTCAAAAAAGAAGAGCCAAATTCAATAGAAGCGCTCGTGCACGCACACAGACGACGTACATGTGACACTGCAAAAAATCCTCGTGATCAAAATCATTCTCCGAATAAATGAATTGAAGAACAAACTAGACTGTAGTCTTTTCTTCCAATAAACTATTATTAATATTTTCTCACCATAAATGAAAATAAAAAGGTATACGAAATACTAAAATTATGCACTACCCAAGAGGTAATTGATTTGAACAATGATTGTTTTCCGACAATATAAGAGAATTCCTTTTTTTGAATATCACAACTATCAGTATGTATATACGCAAACAAATAAACGAAATACAGCGAATGTCAGTGTGTAATTTGATAAGATAATGTAAATTTAATAGTGAAATATGCAATAAACAGTAAACCCAGTGATACACACAACTTTATTTTTATTTTAAATAAGTTGCCGCAAAAGACTTTGGGTTTGGACTACTATCTAATGTTAGACATCACTATTACAGTATGTAGTAAGTGTTACTAAAGACAGTAATCCATACGCATCAAATATAACGCTTCATACCTTAGTATAATTGGAACTGGAATTTAAAGTTGCTGTGTGTGTCTGCGATTAAGAATCAGACAACAGTTAGCCTTATGAACTGAATGGTTCATGAACGTAGAACTTCACACAAAATTATCAGTCCAAGTTCCCATACTTCAGAATAGCATACATAAAAGTAGAAAACACAAATTTAATTACACTACAGTGGACAAAGATGTCCGGGACAGGATAATTAAATGAATATTACTGTAAAGTTTCATCATCTAGATGATGACGAAGAGTGAATACACCTGCGCCATTGTAAACTATATTGAATAATATCCCCAGATACTTCAGTCACTGGCTTTCAGCATCCTAATGAGCCTGGCCAAGTAATCTACATCTTCCTACGTGTCTCAAATTAACAACTAAAGAATTTATAGAGTGGTGCTATTTTTATCGTCGTCTCATGTCAAATGTATCGATCAAGCTCACACTCCTATATATCAGTATCACCCCACTTTCACATTAGTGTAATTAGTTTTGTCAGAATTCTTACTACAATAAGAACGAAATAGTAAGGATTATATTGTAGCCAAAATTACGGTAATGAAATATACTTCTTGCCTAGCTAGTGGAAATACGCTTCATGGAAAGAATACTTCTTAAACATATATTCTTGGTAAATTACATTCACAAGCATTCGTCTTCGAATCAGAATATATGCAGAACTATACTGCAAGATATCTACAGGCGTTCGTATCAGTCAAGAACCTCCTCTCTATTTAAAATAAATATAACGGAGAAATGCATGTTTCTTCATTTAACTTCGCAGGGATTGATACTCTATACAATTCAGTTAACTTATAGGACACAAATGATAAGGTTTTGTTAAATACCATGATAAGATGAAGAATCTCCTGAATACCTGAACTGGCAATTTAAAAAGTTTAAAACGCGTTTTACATCTATTAAACGTAAAATGTTGATTTTGCAGTGATGTCCAGGGATATCCAATTCGCCTACAGGAGAGAATTTGTAGTGTCGAACATTCTGCTTAACTAAGAAATCACTGAGGCCACAGTGGATTAATGACGGACGAGATCACCTGGATTCAACAAGCTTGTTTACCTTCACCAAATCGAGCCACATGACTTTCGACCACCCAAAGAAGTCGAGTATACTAAGTTGCGTAGTTATGAAATCTGGATGATAGAATTAGTGGACCCGTAGAAGCTTGGATTATTTTAGCAGTACCTAACCTGCCCACTACGTGATCTTGGCGTAATCTTAGTTAGGAGTAATCAATCTATTGAGAGGTTTACAAATCTCTCTTTTGAAGTGGCTGCGATGAGTGTCACAATTTCAAATGACCACTTATCTTGGCATGAAAGGTTAGTGGGAAGGAAACTAGTTTAGGCGGAAACGAAATTCATGGCGCCACCAGTCACTGATATGAGTCGTACAGGGAATTCCGGGTCTTATGACTGGTGTTCTAACAGTAATTAGAGACCGTAGGTAATATGGCTCATATGCATTTATATATACATATATATATATATATATATATATATATATATATATATTGTAATACTACAATCTACCTTTCTTTCCTTCGTATAGCTCTAGCTTAAGTAAAACTGTTCTATCGAATAACTTACGAACTACATTCAGATAGTGTTCCGTGATTTTGCGTTCCATTTACACCAGAATGCTCCTTTGAGTGAGTCACGCTTGAAGTAGCCGAAGGCAAAACCAATGGTTCATCACTGAAATTTGGTGAATGAACTCTAGAGGAATTAGGAAGATGTAGAGGAAGATCAATTTGGTCGCTTTGTGACTTTGCTGAATTACACTTATCAGGAGTTGTAGTATAACTGTCATCAAACGGAGAAGAGACACTTTGATTTAACTGGATTTGTCTAGCGAATGTCGAATTCGTTTCTATAAGATCACCATCCAATGACGAATTAGAAATTGCGGACCATCCTTCCTGTTCTGCTCTGAATTTATTCAAAGTCCGGGAGAAATTACTGAAATGCAAGATCAAACAAATCGGCATGACTTACATGTGCACAGAAGTTACCACTATACCTTTCTTAAATATTAGAGGTATTATGCTACATCCCCATCTAATACCTTCTCCACACATGCTCTTATTCACCGAAACGTTAAAGACAAGACCCCCTCCTTCGAAACTTCAATGTGGATTCACCCATTCACCTGTTCTCATGGAGCTTGCTACATAGACCGTACCAGCAGGACATTGTCTAGACATCGCCATGAACACTTACCAGCACGATTGTCAAAAGGACAATGCAGAACAGTCGACAGCTCAATTCGGGAACATAGTGTCACTTCAAGTCATGCAGCACCAACAGAGACTTCATTCACACACACACACACACAAAGTACGACAAAACCATTCGACAGCATTTCGCCTACATCTTCTCCATCCAGCCGAAGTCTTAGCAATCCTTAAGGAGAAACGTGAACTTTGTCTTCAGAAACACTTTATCAAACCTCTTCTACTACCATGACTCTAGTACTATTGCTTCTTTCTTCCTCCTTCTTTGTCTCCTTCAATAACTGTTTAATAAGCTCTATGTAGTGCCCTTTACGTTTTTGCAACTCATTTTCAATATTTTGTCCTCTCGTCGCTTACTAACTATTTCCAAACAATTATTCAGCATTCAAATAATTAGCTGTCAACCCTCCCGTGTACGTAAGCGTGTAGTTAATTTCCAAACATAGTTATTACTCATGCAATTTACCGTCTTACTTGAGTCTTCTCTGGATGGATGAAATCTGAAAGAACTGAACAATAACTGCATCGTTTATAACCTAAATAGTATTGCCGTTAAATGACTAACCAATCTTAGTCAGTAATTGCTGCCTGTTCTTGAATTCATCATGGAAAAAAATCGCAGTAGTAAATCAAGAATAAACACACAAATCAACCGTATGAATGACCATTATTCATTGGTTGCCAGCAATAACAATTAACTGTGGCTTGACGCTTTGTAATTAGTGCTGAGAGACGCATGGACATGGCTACAGTAATCGACAAGATCATACATCTATTAGCATCAGCATGTAGAAGCGGGATTTAACAGTCAAGACTGAAAACTATGTCAAATACTATAAAAATCTGTCATAGAGGGAAAATGAAAGCAAGAAAGATAAGCCAGGATTTCTAGAATAAAACGGAAAATGAATCTACTGCAATTATTCGCATTTTTTAAGAAACATTTCCAAACACACTTTTCGACTGCTTTGCATATTTTAATCGGGAAGTCTATCTCTTCCAATATAACCCCAGAAATAATCAGACTGCAGGTTTCTATTTGTTATCGTTCGATCACTATGTTGATTTTTACCTACTACCTAACAATATTCGAACAGCCGAGAACCTGTTTAGTTGAGGCTGATAACATCCAAAATCCAAAATTGTAAACATAAGCTAAGTATAACTAATGTCGCTGTTAATTTAATTATCTGCTTAGTCTCCGCTTGAGTATGAAGTCACTTGTTACAGTAATTGCTTGGCTTCGATTCTGACGTGACAGCGTTAAACACTTCAATTTACGCATGTTTGATGCAATTAAAGCGTGGCTCAACGTCAAATAATGAAGAAGCCTTAAGCCGGTGAGTAAGTTGCAGTTAGTTTCCTTACAACTACGAAGTACGATTAACCATCACATCTGAGGGTTATTTTAACACTAAGGCCGACCGTAAACATTGTTGAGTAAACTTGTCTCGTTGTGTGCTGACAGCGTGACAGAAAAGTATTACTGCCCTCAGATGAGTGGCAATGGTGGAGGCAATTAAAGAATGGGAAAAACAGATAAAATGTAACAACTACGAGGATTGTTGACGAAAATATGTGATGTCCTGCAGCTACCTGCTGATTGGTTGATGTTCCCAAGTGTGTCAGTATGGGAATTAATGGCATAAAGCGGTCGCGTGTTTCGAGAGGTTTAACCCTGAGCTCAACTACCTACTATCAAAAACCTGAGAAAACTGGTAAGAAATATATGATTATCCACAGCTGACGCTAGTAGACAAAAAACCCCACAAAAGCCCAAACACGGAATTGACGAAAATGAAATCATAATAGCAAGCCTTATATGGATAACATTTCTATTTTAAAGGAGAGAGATTGAAAGACATTTGAATGAGATGTCAAGAATTAAGGGCAAACATAAGAAATAAGAGTTCATCAGCAGGTGCACATTATCAGTCGATAAAGTTAAACATACTACAAATAGTATGAATAATTGGAGAAGAGTTATCAGTACGTCCACCAGGAACTATTATTAGAACAAACCATCGCACTCGGTATCTTACGTAATGTTTCGTTAATGACAAATGACAAGAAATGAACACGGCAGCATTGTCAACAAAGGAATACTAGCAGGTGTACCTGATCGGGGTCGGGTAGGTTTTCGACATAGAACTTTGAACCTGATAAGTCACCTAACTTTTGAATTTAAATGCATAAGATGTATAAATGGCAGGTACAGGCAAACCGAACAAAGAGTAGCTGTAGACCTGTATACATGCATTTAACTATAACATTTCTAATGCATTATTCAATTACTTGGGAAATGATGTACCGTGTTTACAGCATGAAATTTATGAAACCAACCCTAAATTTATGACATTACTACCACGCATCACTGCCTCTCCGAGTAAAGAGACTAAACCACTGAAGCTATTTAGACAAGCAATACGATATTTAACTAACCTTGATCATAATGACCGACAAAGTCATAACAAAGCTGAAGGGCAGATACATGGTAATTAAAGTCAAAATTTTGTAAAAATTGAAAGCAAACTTCCAGCTAACGAGTAACAATTCATAAGAGTGGAAACGAGCAATATCTAAATTGTTAAAATGACTAACTCTATTCACTTAGTAACTTAGATATAACATAAGGGTGACAAAACTGTAATAAGAGATTCCCGTATGTAGACAACAAAGTCACTTAAAGCGCATTGTATGCGAAAATTCGTTAGATGAGAATAAAAAAGGATTTAGTCCGCAAACGTTTGTTACTATAAGTCGAATGCATGGGAATTTTCTATTGATGAATTCATCCGCAGGTGAGCAATTTTGGAAAGAGGACCAAAGGATACTTGATGGGAATAATATTTTCTTTCAAGTGGTAAAAACATAATGCTGTACTATACGCCACCACAAATCCCCGTTAGGGACGTTAGCGAGGACAATATGGCCAACTTGGAATCAATCCAAACAACTAACAGCATCCCCAGTACGTACAATTATTTTGAGCAACGAGATATAGATGAGTTCCCAACATAGTCTTTCGTACAAATGTGCAGTAATTCAAGTTGTCACACTCCATATAACATACAAACGTTGGGACGAATTCGATGTAACATTGATGAACGGAAATTTACGGGATTTAAAATAATTACATAGAGATTACTCAGGGTCTAATTGATCACGGTAGTGCCAGTTACCTTGTTACTTGATCTATTTAATAAGTGTCATGTTTTTAATAAGGTCAAGTAGTTTTAACAGTTACAGATCTTCAGTAGTTATATGTCAGTATATGTTTGGAACACCAAAATAAACATTGGAAACTATGGCTAGCATCACAGCTTTCAAGATTGAGACTTCTAAGAATAGTTGGAAACTTTAGAATGTGATGCAATATTATATGCAGAGAAGTAATAAATGCATCTAGAAAATTACCTACGTGCAGCGAATATTCGCGAAACAAAAAGAAAAAGGATGAAACTTACTCTGCAAACAGCTCCTGATCCTCTGTGATATTGTTAGGATTTAGGAAACTTGTGGGTGTAACTGGTGTCGAGCCATTATTACCCAGATGACCAAGTAATTTCTCGAAATCCGATGAGTCTACACTCCGCACAGTCCAAGGTTGATGAGAGGATTCCTGAGAGACAACGCTACGTGATAGAGAGTAATTCCTGAATTCGGTTAGGTTTTCTGTATTCGACAAACATAATCCTAAACGGGTTGGCCTATTTGTTGACTGCATTTTAGAAATATCAGAGTTGGTATATTGCGTTATCACTTGTAGAGGCCTAGTAGGTGTCACAGCACCACTATTTTGAGCAAGAGATTCGTCACATTCGTTCTTTGGCATTAGGAAACTCGTTTCATAGAAGATCTAAAGCACCCCCAGTCGAAGCGGAAACAAAGAAAGCGCTTTGTACGCACAAGGACAACCTGTTTGTCACCCACTAAAAATGATGAGTCAGACATATCAGCACCAACCAATCAGACTGAGGATAACGCCTGAAGTAAAAATAAATAGTTAACTTAAACAAATTAAGTTTGTCCAAATGTGCGAAAATGATACCAGTGGGAAATTTTGAGCTTTCACTAAGTAAATTATAGCACTGAGGCAAGTTCAACTTTATGCACCACTAACTATCAATCAACGAATGACATCAAATGGTCCAATGAGGTTCATGCACGTGAGTTCAAGGTTGTATTCCGCTTGATTAGTATTAGATGTCTGCTCTAACGAAGTTACGCTTGCAGTTCGATGAGGATAAACTTTTGGACCATTGCCTGGATCTGGTATTGCTTAAGAAGGAGAGGATTTGTTTTTGTGGAGGTGTCATGAGTTTAAAAACTCTAGCAGGTCGATTGATGGATGTGTGCAATTTGCTTCGGACGAGTTAGTATTAGGAAAGGTAAGCCAATGGTTTTACTGTTTCGTCGAAACATATATGGCAAGTTGCATCTCTTTCTAACCCAGATTTTGTATGAAAGTAATTACTGGATCTTATAACCGCTTGTGAGATGCGCAGCTGCTGAAACTGAAAATAGCCTCGTGTCAGCCGTTCAGTGGTACCAGCCTCATGGAAATTGCAGACAATTACTTCGTTGTTAGGTGGAGAAGGTGTCGTCATACACGTGGACGAAACTGTCTAAATAAAGAAAATATACAACCGTGATGGCCAGCGAGCTAGCAATGTTTGGGTGATTGGTTTATGTGACACCTCCCTGCGGAAAAGATTAGTGGAGAGAATACCAGACAGAAAGTCTGCTACCTTAGTACCTGTTGTCACTCGACTGGTGAAACAAGGATCTATAGTAGATACTGATGAATGGAAAGGTTATAAGTCGGTGTCATGCCTTGGATATATTCATCACAGAGTGAACAATTCTGGTGATTTTATGGATCCAACTACAGGGACACACATGAATTCTATAGAAGGATTTTGGGGAAGATTAAAAACAGGATTAGGGCTATAGATGGATATCAAAAAGATGTCATTTTTAGTCATTTGGATGAATATATATCGAGATTTTGGTGTGACTTTTCTGTTGACTTTCCTGTGCTAAAGAAGGAGATGTTTCTGTCACATGTTAGAGAAAGATATGCTATGTAACAGTTTTATGAAGTTTTTATGCTTTTTTCATGAACGTACGTTTTCCCTAATCAAAATTCTGTCTTTCATGTAATTGGTTAGTTGAAGGTCGTTCGCTGATTGGTTGTTAGTGGTGCTTATATGTTTAACTTTGCCTGGCACTGAATATTAAGCAGTAATTTATTTCGGTTGACGACCACATACTGAAGATATTTAAAGCTGCTACATGTAACCGAAGAATTTGATGGAACTGGTCGAAATAATTGACGACTGCT